CGGCCCCGGACCCCCCTCAGGGCCCTGGCGCACCCCGGGGCTGGGGCTGCGGGCTCGCTGGTCGGGAGGTTCCCGGAGTCCTCGGGCTGCCCTACCTTGCGGGCGGCGAAGGCCTCGGTGCGAGTCGGAACCGGGCGCGAGATTAAGGCCTCAAAGCCTTCGTGTAAAGTGGTGATTGGTATGAACGTGCTGGGGTTGGAGTGGTGGAACGTGAGTTCGCTTATGGCCAGGTTTTTTTCTTTTTAAGCCGCTTCTCAGTCCCCCTCCCCCAAGGAAGCCCTTCCCCCATGACGGTCCTGGGCGTAAGGGTCAGAGCTGCAGCTCCACCAGCCTCTCTGATCTGGCAGCTTCCCTGGAATGACAGGCTGTCTCCGTGGTTCTCTGGCGCTTCGTTAAGCAGCTGAAAATACTCGAGGAAGCCGTGGGACACCGAGCCAAGGAATTTTCCTTCCTGGCCCGAGACAGGCAGGCCTCTGCAGTCAGATGGGCCCCGGGCTCCTTGAGACCCCACTGAGCAGGACGCCGGCCACCTCCTGCCCATCACTTCTGTTCAGCCTTCGTGTGTTGATGTTCCTTCCGAAACATGGTGTCATTTTCTTGGACAACTTTCAGCTTGTTGGAACGTGCTGTTGGGTCGTTGCCAATGTAATTAAAGCGATTGAGGGCACATGTGGGTGACTTCATTGACTTGATTTGCGTTCATGCTTCACGTGAGTGCAGAACTGAATGGACCATCCCGGTGGCCGTCTGCGCCGTGGAGGTATCAAAGTGCCTGTTCAGTGGGACACTCATCAGAAGCCGAGCTTTCAGAACGCGAGCTTCTGGAACGTGGTTACAGAAACAGGCCCGAAAGTCGGAATGACTACCAGAGGGACAAGGAATAGGGCTGGTTGGAAGCAGATCCAGGAGCAAAAGCTGTGATTCCAGCCACCTAGAGAACTGAGGGGCTGGCAGTTTCGCCTGGTCCAGTGACTTCTGCCGCCTGGGAAAATGAGAAGGCCCAAAGGAACCTTGATTAAGACCACAGCCAGGCAGGGCATAGTGGCTCACGCCTGTAATCCCAGCACTGTGGGAGGCCAAAGCCGGAGGAATGCTTGAGTCCAGGAGCTTAACACCAGCCTGGACAACATAGCCAGACTTTGTCTGTACAAAAAAAAAAAATCAAAAAATTAGCTGGGTGTGGGGGTGCGCCTGTAGGGCCAGCTACCCACGAGACTGAGACAAAAGTATTGCCTGAACCCAGGAAGGCAAGTCTTCGGTGAGCTGTGATTGTGCCACTTGGACCCTAGCTTGGGCAAAAAAAAAAAAAAAAAGTACAGACTCAAATCTGCTAAAAAATAGGAATAATGCGGGACTTGGGGCCAGGATGCTTGTGTAACTGTCCCTGTGTGACCTGGAGGACATCACTTAACCTTTTACAAAGCCCAGCCTTGGCAGGACTGCATCCCGGCTCCTCTGAGTCCCTCTGCTCCATCAACCTGCTGGAGAGATCCGCCCCATGGGCAGCTGGTCTTTCAGATGGCGGACTGCACCCTTGGAGCCATGGGCCCTAACTTAGTGCTCTGTCTTGTCTTCCCCGAGTCCCTTCCTCTCCTGTCTCCCAAGGGCTTGTTCCAAACTCGCATCACTCTCCCCTGCCTCCCCTTGGCCACTCTCAGCCTCAATTCTATAGGAGACAATCAGGATGTTGCTTGGATTTTTATTTTACTTTATTTTGGAGTTGGGGTCTCAATCTGTTGCCCAAACTGGAGTGCAGTGGCCCAATCATGGCTCACCACAGCCTTAACTTCCCGGCCTCAGGTAGTCCTCCCTCCTCAGCCTCCTGAGTCACTAGGATTCATGCACATGCCACCACACCCAGCTAATTTTTTTTATTTTTGCAGAGATGAGGTCTTGCTATATTTTTCTCGAACTCCTGGGCTCAAGCCAGCCTCCTGCCTCAGCCACCCGAAGTGCTGGGACTACTGACATGAGCCACCGTGCCCAGACGGTTGCTTAGATTTTTAACC